TCGCGTGCAACCCTAAACGAGACCTTCACGTTAAATATGATGGCTTTTTTTCCCAGAACACCCTAAGTGAGACCAACATCCGAAATTTACACCCCTAAGCGAGGACGACGGGCATCCCCACCCCCTTTCATATGCAGAGTGCCCCCTGGGAATTGTACTCACTGTAGGGTTTTTAAAATACATACATTAATTTATGCTCGAAAGTTTGAGCATGATGCATTTGAGCGTTACTCTCAAAACAACAGCATTACGCCTTATGCTCGAAAAGTAGCATTATGCTCAACTGATCTTGGCTATATTTAACGCCCTTTTCCATGCCTGCAGACAAAAAATACCTCCATAAGCCCGAATCAAAGTATTTCATTGCATCAATTAAAAATTTACAAGAAATATTAACGTCAAATAATGCTCAAAAGGACCCAAAGTGTCTTATTTCAATGGAACTCTCCATATTTGGATACTCTCTGGTCAGTTTGCAGCCTGGCATAATGATGCAACAGTGCAGCAAGGCCTTGAAAGTAGCAACAAAGCCTTTGAATATATTAGTTACTTTTTTTACTTTACTAAAGGCACTTGAAAGTGAAAAATAGTTTCTCATTACATTTTTCTGGAAATATTAATTTTCTCATTATTATTCATCTCTTTATGCTAAAAAGTACGTAAAAAATGCCCATATTTATGCTGGCATTTTACTCGAGGCTCAGACTATACCATTATGCCCCAATTTATGCCGCATGTGTCTAACCTTAGTATAACTGTTTGCTTCATCTGTAGAGGCATATCACTAAATATGGGGTGTCAGTAAAACGCAGGGTTGGGGCCATGGCCAGGGTTAAGGTTTTGCATGTTTTAAAATAATGTTGTTTCAGGGTTAGGGTTAAAGTTGACACTAACCCTAACCCTAACCTAACACTAACCCTAGCCCTAAAACAGCATTATTTTAAAAAAAGATAGACTCCAACCCCAGCCTGGCCCCGACCCCAACCCTGCCTTTTCCTGACACCCCTAAATATGTGCATGTATAAAAGTTAAACGTTGTGTTACCTTACCTTCAGTAAAGTGTTGTCCTTTTGCCTCAGAAGTGGTATTTTGAGCAATTTAAAGGATTTTGAGTTCGCTGTTTACTGTTCCTCACAAGTATACTCACTTGAAAATATGTTTGCTACAGAACAGAGATTCGAGCCTCATTTTCAGTTTCAAAATTACAGTGAAATTGTCACTAAAACACCAGCCTCGTTCCTAGGGTTCTCTCCTGCCCGTCCCTATGGAGCGAGCGAGAGAGAGAGAGGGGGAGTAAGAGAGAGAACCTGGGAACGAGGTTGACTAAAAGACCACCTTCTAAATAATGTTTTTAAACGTTAGGAGTCTTTCACAGTCTCTGCTTTTAACTGGAAAATATCTATTGTGTGAGTTATCAGTAACATGCAATGCAGTTTGGGAATGGCTCGAGATGGTGGACGATAGAAAAACAGTACCGTTGCCATACACAAGCTGAGTCATAAAGCATTGCTCTATACTAGTTAAGAATCTGAGTTTTAAAATACTATACTTGTGTATTTTGAGGATATGTCACTGGGAAACTATATTTCAGTTCCATTGATTTAAGATCACGGTAATGACCCAGTACTGGAAACGATCATTATGGTCCTAGGGCTTGACTTTACCATAAAATTAGGTTGGTTACACAAACAGATTGCGTGGCCTCCCTGTGATTTCATCAGCATGGCTTTGAATTTCGATAGTTGCATTGAGCCCATTGCATGAAAACCCGGCCATAAAGAGAAGCAAATTGAACATTAAGAATCTTCATTGAGTGTATGGGTCTGTTTTAATATTAGCTAAAAAAGTTCATCTTCAATATTGCAGAGATGTAATAAGAGATGGGTGTTTCAGCTTGATTTGTTTACAGGATCAGGTGGAATGGAATCAAAATGAGGTATGGTAGAGTCCTTTATACGGCAGTGCCTCAAAGGTCCACCATGATATCCTTAAAAGAATATTGCTAGCAAATTAAACTATTTCCATTTATTATATTTGGCTGTGACATGATGTTTACATATTATTTTAATGGTGCTTCATTAGTTTGAGTGTACATTTTATTCACTGTTTTGATTCATTGTACGTGATACTGGTCAGTGTAAAATGAAGATTGCGGACTGCAGACTGCGGACTGCAGACCAGGGGTAAAGTGCAGACTACGTGAGTGAAATGCAGGTTGGGTGCAAAATGTTGTGAGAATGAGGACTGCAGACTGTTTAAACATTTGTGCTCCTTCTTTTCCAAATAGCTACCTTAGTCATTTACTATACACACCTTGCTTCCCAGTTGAAGTACATTATTGCACATTCACCAGAAGTTTCAATGAACATCCGAACAGCTAAAGTCTGCGTACCTTGATTTGCAATCATACTTTCATAGAAGGTCATCCAGATTTCCTGCAGAACATCCTTCTTTATTGTTTTTTGGAATTCGGGGTCGGCAGTTTTTATTTAACATAAACATCTTCGTGTTGTACCAGTTCATGGTCATGTGTAGATCTGTTCAAAAACTTCACATCTAAAGGTGATTTTCATACACAGGACAATTTGCAATAATGATTTATAGCAAAACACAGCATTTGCATATATATTGTTGGAACATTATGTTGCAGCTTAATTCAAAACAATGTTGCAACATTACATTTTGCTAAAAATCATCGTTGTGAATCATCCTGTGTAACGTACATCACCTAAAAGTTGAAGCATGAGGTCTCTCAGATGGAAAAAAGGTACAAGATTGCGATTAAGTTTTCGGGTCCCCGGCAAATGTTGTTCCAGAGATGAAAGGGATGGATTTGTGAAAGCAGATGTCAAGTATATTGGCAGTGAGAATTAATAATTTTTTGCACTTAACATGTAAAATAACACATAAATAATATACTTTGCATCATTTTATTCACAAGCTTTTCTTTTAATAGACCTATATTTTGGCTAACTCAAAGTTGTAGTTTTACCCAATTCAAATCTCCCGTGGTCAAGATCAATTCTTTGTGTAACTGTATTTGCAGGATTTTTTTGCCCTTAAACCCCTCTGCAACTATATACAGTTCATATGCTCGGTCTGCATTTTACCCCCAGTCTGCAGTCCTCATTATCTGCATTTTGCACCCAGCCTGCATTTTACTGTCAGTCTACAGTCTGCATTGTACCCCTGGTCCACAGTCTGCAGTCCACAATTTTCTGAGATTTTAGGCCCCATCCACAGGTATCCGGACATTTTTGAATCTGCAACTTTTTCTTTCCAGATACAGCTTCTGTCCACTTGAATCCAGTGAGTCTGGGGCACTTTCCATTCAACAAAAATTCCAGTTTGAAATTTTGGAAACTTCTGACATGCTCAGTGGAATGGTAGGTTCCAGTTGCACAGACCTGACCCAAGCCACCGTGCATTTTGTTATTGTGGTTTCACAGCAGACTCAAAATTACACTCTAAAAGAGAAGAGTAAATACTGTTTCAATCCTAAAGAACACTGGAAAACTGGAAAACTAAAGGAGGAGGAATCCTATTTCTCAGTATATTCGAACAATTCAAGCAATTCCTGGAACTGTGCAGTAAATAAATTCGGTGTTTTGGCCAAATTTGTATTCAGGCAGGCTTTGGCTTAACTGATGAATTAAATGCTTTAGTTAAATATCGTGGACAGTTTTCAGACAAAATAATAATACGCTGATTCTCTTGATCACGGACTTTATACACACACACTTTTTTCGCCTACAGTGTCGTGTTGCGTCAGTTATTTGACACTGTTAATGGCAAATATCAAGAATGGAAAAAAAATTGCAACTGATTCAAACTATTTGAGATGTCATGGCTTTTACTCTCAGCACTTCACTTCCCATCGGAAACTACTTGCTCTTGTAAGCAGGATACAAAAGAGCGGTACTGGGGACAACAATTTTGGCAAGTGGAAAGGGACATTTCAGTCTGAGTGACCGAAATGACCAGACCAGTCACTGTGGACCACCTTCAAAGCTCAGGTCCCGAATATTCCGGTCAGACCAAACCGAAATGGTCCGTTCCATTTATGAACCTACCGAAATTTCCGGAATTTTGGCTTGAATGGAAAGCGCCTGTGGTATACGAATCTGCAACTTTAATTTTGAATCCACTCTCATCCAGAGCCAGTGGAAATTGTTTCATGTGCTATGAATCTGGAATCAGGTGGATGCTAAAATTTATACAAACATTTTTTTATCCAGTGACGCAACAAGATTGAGCCCAGTTCTTTACTGTGAATACTGTATTCAAGATGGCAACCTTGTTCCAAGGTTCTCTCTCTTTAACCCTTCGAGGCCAGGGTAAAGGAGTCAACCTTAACTTGCTCCTTGCATTTTCCTTTGACTTCTGAGCTGATTCTACCATACTTCTAGCGATAAGATAGAGAATCATAACACAAGACAGAGCAAGGTGCAAAATTTGTGTGCTTAATTACAACGCATGCTCTGTTGCCAATATTTCCAAAGGAGTCCTAGGTACTAGAGTGAATCCAGATACATGTTGAGTGGACAGGTAAATTCGATTAACCGGATAGGTGACATGCATGAACATGGAAATTTTTTAATCTGGAAAGAAAAAGTTGTGGATTAAAAAATATCTGGATATGTGTGGATGTTGCCTTCCCAGGAAGGTCAGGGGAGTACACGGTACTTGTGAATAGCACAGTCATTAACTTCATATTCATCAGAACTTGTAAGATCCATAATTCAAGCACCTCTAGGTTGTTATGGGATCATTGAGGCCCCACATTGTATGCCCTCTGCATCTTGAAATTCAAAACAATATCTTGAAAGCTATATAAATATCACATTTTAAATAACCCATTTATGAGGGAAAAAAGGAAAGGGACTTGAAGATAAAAGCCACAGAGGATTAAATAACAGAGGTCTCGATCGAAATGCTAACGAGTGAAATTGTGTGAGCTAGGCCATGAAATGTAAACGTGTTCTCACAGCACTGTGAAGTCTGCTTATTCATTCTCTAGCTATTTATTTTAACTGAGAATATCACTGTAATTTTCTTGTGGGACATTATATCGATTAAACAAAATTGTCTGCCTAAAAAATGCAATGAAATATTTTAATGTGTTACTTGTCATCTTTCTTCAGTGTCTTCATTGAGCTTCCTCACCTGGCAATTTAACCTGTTATATTAAGGGACAATTTTAAAAACAAAGGTGATCATTGGTCGTAATAACAGGGTGGATTAACGTTTTTTCAAGTACAAAAATGTGTGGAATTTTATTCGGACCACAAAAAAGTGGTTGTAATAAAGGGCATTCACTGTAATAATTTATTATTAAGAATTATGGTATTCACAAAATACAAGTATAAAAAAATTGCTGTGCGGTGACTGTTCGTAAATGAAATCTCAAGGAACTGCTAGAATTGAGCTATATAGGACTTAACTAAAAATATAAAACACAGAGTGCACGTCATTTTTAATTTTGGGCAGAAATGCTGTGCAGTGTTTTGTTCTGAGATATTGAATCTTATATATCATTCTGGGTCTTAACAGGGCTGTCACTGAAGGTGGGGTCTGGGGTCAGATATTTCCTCTGGCTATTATGAGCACATGACCCGCCATGCTCTCACAGGAGGAAAGGAAAAAGAATCAAAAGAATTAACTCCCCATCAATCTGTTCAACTCCATGCTTGAAATCTCAGTGACCTGATTTAACTCCTTAATATTTTCATAATTTGTTACTTAATTCTTTTTTTTTTAGGTTTTTCCTGATAATTTCATGCGCCGAGAAGTACAAGCTTTTGTTGTCAGCTGCACATTTAAGGATGAAGGATGCCAATGGAAAGGCAAAGTCAGGCACTTGGAGGTAAAAAAGGCTTGAAAAAAGTAATGTTACTCTTGAGAAAATTTTCAAACCGTTAGTGTATCAGTATTTAATTGCTCTGTAAATTTAAACTAGCAGTAACTGCAGTTGGTTAATAGGAAGTGCGGGCGAGCATGTGCAGACTGATTTTGAGTTAAAAAATGTCTTGCAAGGAAATGCATGGCCATGGCAAATCCTGCAATATGACAGAGAAGTTGTTGAAGGCAGCATTAATTACTACAGAACATGCAGTGGTATTGGACAGGATTAGAGAATAAACGAGTCAATATGGAGTACACTGCTGCGTAAATTGCTCAAGTCAAACCATCCAAAAAGGAAACTGGGAAAGCAGCAAAAGAGATGCAGAATTGGCTGACCCTTCTACCAAATCAGGGGTTAGAACTGTATAAATCCCATGGCCTGATTTTTTGCATGGAAAGAATCATTTTAACAGCAAACTTACAACAGAAAATCATTGATTCATTCGCCCCCTGAGCTGCCTGTAACTGCCTGTGCGGAACCACATCTCTTCTACCGCTTGTGATGTCACCAGTTTTAATGGTCAAAGACAACTTTATATGCTGACATTGTGCATAGTGAGGAGATCTAGCTTTTAAACCATACCAGAATTAGCACAATTCAGTCAAGAACACCTGAGAAAAAGGCAAAAAACCATGTAACAATGACCTGAAAATTGCCATGAAAATCTTGTTCCGCTACCCACCTATATACCTTTCCTACCATCTAATCCTAAGATCCTAAAGCTTTCCTAAAAACTTTTCCCACCAAAATGAAGCCTACTAAATGCCCAGCGTAAGAAAAAAATGAGGCAAGAAAAAGAGGGAGGACAGAAAGCGAAAAGTAAAAGTCAAGACTGCTGCGTCACTTTTAAACCCAAAAATCTCGAAACTTTGCTTTGTACGCGCATGCCAGAACTTCGCAAGCTAATATTTGCATCTGGATCAGAAGGCCACAAAGTGTACGACCTGTGAACAGGTTAATTGGTGGTGAAGTTTTAGCTCTTTATAGCACGACAGTGACCAGAAAACCTCTCGACTAGTTTCAAAACGCCTTTTTCAGCAAAATCTCCTGGGGCAAATGGGTTAAGTCAGCTCATGCAATTAGGGCACCTTGCAATTGGTACGACAAAAATTAAGCAGATGCTCTGTGCAAAGTATTGGTTCCCCATTATGAATCACCTGATTGGCCAAACAATAGAACTGTTTTGGCAGTCAAGTATGTCCACAAAGAGTCACAAACAAGAGCCCATTAAGCAAGCCATCGGTTATTCTTGAAGAACCGTAGGAACAGATCTCTATTGATTTTAAAGGACCTAATACCCTGGTCAGAATGCAAAGAAAGTCATTTTTATGGCTTGCCAATCCTGGATGGCAAGCTGAAACTTAGCATTTACTAGCCCAAAAGTTATTTCAACCAGCCCGAAAACTTTTTTAGGAGCAGACTTGATTTCGCAAATCGTCTGTAATTTGAAGTCCTCAAAAAACTTCACTTGCCCGTTAGGCAAGTTAAGAACAGAATTCACTAGCCCTATACCAAAATCCACTAGCCCCGGGCTAACGGACATGACTTTCTTTGCATGCTGCTGATGATCATTACAATTTAGTGGCTACTGACGAGAGAACCTGGTATCCTATGGTAGAGGTTGTGTCTTCAACTGGATTGAAGCATAGTTAATAGAGGGGACTCTCTATACTAACTATGGTTGGAGCAAACGAAGGAAAAGTTGAAAAAGACCTTTGGATGGGTAACTTCAGACAACGGACTGCCATTCAATTCAGAACAGTTCAATGATTTTGCAAAGGAAGAAGGATTTCTACATTATTGAGTCACCCCAAATCAACCTAGAGCAAATGAGCAGGTGGATAGATTTATGCAGACCCTAAACAAGACAGAAAAAATTGCCCATCTGCAAGGGAAATCAGGATCAGATAGAAACGTGGCTATCCAAGAAATGTTAATGGCTTACAGAGACACGTCACACCCTGTGACTGGCATTTCACTTTATCAAGCTATGATGAACAGACCTGTCAGAACTAAGCTGGGCTTATATTAGAGTGCTGTGGAAGGAGAGAAGCAGCCAAGATGAAATGATGGATAAGAAGGACAGCCAGTACAAGGAGAAGATGGAAAATGAAGGTGTAAGCAGTAAGGGACACAATTTTGCCGTGGGAGATCATGTCCTGTTAAGACAAAGATAGGTGAACAAATGGTCAACCTTATATGAGCCTGTATTCTACACAGTCAAAAAATCAATGGATTTGCTATTACTGCAAGATGTATTACAGACGGCTGAGAGGTTTTAGCGAGATGCTAGCCAGTTCAAAAATGCAAATGCCAGGAGAATGAAGATGATGGCAGTCAGCATGAAGACTGAAGAGAGACAGGTTTGATGGGTGCGAGTAACATGAAAGATCAACCCAATTCCCAAAGGATGTTGAGCAGGAGATTTACCTGAACTACCTGAACAAGAGATGAAAGATAAGCAACCACAGAGCAAGTGCAAGAGGACCTTACTAAACAGAGTGGTGGTAGTGGCAGACAACAGGAAGAAGGTGCAAAAGTAGTGAATTGCCAGGAAGTGCGTATGTCAAGCCCGGCCATTGGAGACACTTCTTAGCTATCCAGTCGATCCACAAACCCACAAGCTAAGACTGAAAAGAACCAGGCGACGACCTGCGTACCTGAGTGGCTTTATTATTACTGGGAGATATGTGTCCTACACTTACATCAACTTGGAATGGAAACTGACTAGAAAATGAATTAAACTGAATAGGTTTATTAAATTGAATAGTATATAAACTTAATAGCTTTCAGTTCATTAGTGTCATTAGTTCCTACAACAAATGAACAAATGATGAAAATTAAATTATGTACCTTTGCATGTTAACAAATTCTGCGTAAACCTATAAGAAACTTTTGAAAAATTGACTGAAATGTAGTGTTCACATAACTAAAGCATAAGGTAAGACCAGTGGGCCATTATGAAAACATCCACTGTAAAGTACCTTCATGGAATTCTATGGAACTTCCGTGGGGTTCCATGGTTTGTGCTTGGAATTTCATAGAATAAACCCATTCAATAATCATTTTTGTTTACCTCTTTTATCAGGCCCACACTAGCAACTGTGAGTTTATGAAAATCCCTTGTGATCATTTTGAGTGTGGCATGTTTGTGAAGAAAGCTGATCTTCCTCAGCACCTGGAAACAGAATGCAAGTGTAGACCTGAAACTTGTGGATTCTGTAAAAAACAAATTAGGCTGGACAAAATGAAGGTATTTTATAATGCTGTCATGCTGTACCTATGCTACATGTAAATAAATTCAATTTTAATTAGTTATATAGCTTCTGCAAGAATTAAGGGACACCTTAGGTGATGTACATTTAGTTGCCAGAAACTGAACGGCTTGGCCGTAACTTATACTGGGCCATGTCCAACTACAGTTTTGCTAAGAAAAAGCCTTGAGAAATTTTTTATTCCTTTACTTTGTCGAGATAAAAAAATATATAATAATAATCATTACAAATGTAACCACTATGCAGCTTCACCACGAGAAGGAGTGTCCAGCATATCCAGTTGTGTGTGAAAAATGCAACAAGGATGGCATTCCACGCGCAAAGGTAAGAGGCCAAGAAATTATGGATCTCGTTTCCTGACTTTCGTAAAGTTCACGTTGGTGCCGGGGGTTACTCCCTTACATAGGCCATGTAGGTATGTGCAGCCCCAAAGGGTAGGGTTTTTGCGCCGTTTTGGTCTGAAAACGGGTATACACTTTGCCCATTTTGGTCTGGAATTGGGTATGATTTTGGAGGAAACTACGAGAGCGAGTGTATGACGGTATTTATCGTTTCAATTCCCCTCTGAATAAAAAAAGAAAGAGGAATATGGGAATTCAAAGTGGATTTTAAGAAATCTTTTCTGTTGACGTTCTAATCTAAGTGGATGTAATGATAACATAATTTCTCAGAGGTCAGGTCTGAAAACCGGTGTGAAAAATGACATTTTTCTGTCTGATGTAGGGTCAGAATTGGTAGTTCCGAGCGGCACACTCCCACCAAGAATTCTTAGAAGTACTCCCCCGGGCTTTGGTGATTGATTCGAATCCTATTGTGCCACACCAAGGTTTTTGGGCTTCTTTTCACAGTTGCCTAAATTCCGAACATGCCAGCTATCATGATGATTATTTCTTTTTAGGATATTAAATTTAGTCAAACAAATAAGGACGTCGATGAAACCTAGGGTACTTACCATTCATTTACATGGGAAAACTGGAAATTCCGGTAGGAATTAACAGTTTTCCCGGGTCAAGCGTACCCAAATAGGTTTTCTGTAATACGGACAACGGGCACTAAATCTCGGCCCCAGAGAGTAAAATCGTATAAAATTAACCTCTTTATTACGGACACAGCGTCGATCTGGTGAATCCCGAATCCCGATCAGTTGAATATGCACAGGGTGAATCCCGTCTAGTCTGGCCGATGAGCTATGAATTTCATCCGATTACTTCGAGTCTTTATTACTCCCTCAGTAACGTCTGAATCGACCGGCCGTTAATGCCGTCCAGTGACGTCACTACTCCTCGACCTTTGCTTTAATTCATGCAAAAACACGATTTTCAAGTGGCAAACCGAGAAATATCGTTTGGAAATGTCTGCATGATACAGAATTGCTTTATTTTTTTCGATCGTAATTCATGTTTAGCGTTCAAACTATCAATTGCATGCAGTACAACTCTGAACCGGTTGTACTGAATTCTATAATCAACTCGGTGGCAATCACGTAATGAAATAAACACACACACGAATGCTTTAATTGAAAAGAAGCTATTTGATCCTTAACGAAGAAAAAAAACAAGGAAACAAGAAAGAAAAGCTAACAGAATCATTACACTTGACGGTGAAAATAGCAAGAAGGTCGAATTATAACATTGATCTCAGAAAACTTCGCGTAAACAAAATCACCGGCCGCCGAAACCACAAAGCGGCTCTAAATGAAAAACCTACCGACTCTCCGCAATGATTCTTCATTCGCAGTTCAATTTCGCATTTCAGTTTCGAAGACAAGGGCGATTTTGCTGTTTAAGATAAAGATTAAGCTTATCGAAATGTTTGAACTACACGAAAGAATGCCAGGGATGCGATTCGCTGAAAATCAAGCGACAATTCCGCTAAAATTTTTCATAATTATACATAATTATGCGAATGTTTAGACAATCAACCAATCAAAATCACTACCCGGTTTTCGGGTAGTGAGTGACGTCACTGGACGGCATTAACGGCCCGTCGATTCAGACGTTGTTGAGAGGAGAAAACGACTCAAGCAATCGGATGAATTTCAGGCTAATAGCGCCGCTTATAATACATTTCTAGTGATCTAAAAGTACTCGGGACAGCCTAAAAAGTGTTTTAACCGTATTTAAGAGGAAACCGTAATTGGGTGACCCTGATTTGTTAAACCTTGACTATGAATTATGGAGGAGCCAACTTTCTAGAATGTGACTCTAATGTTTCTTCGTTGGATTGACTCGTTATTCTTTTGCTTTTAGTTGTCGGCGCATCAGAATCTAGTTGTAGGAGACTGTGACGGAAACCAGATTGGCCGCTCAAATACTGAGGTAAAAGCAAAAATGGAAATTCAGTTTTTAATTAACTGAATTTACCTAACTTCAATAAACCTTGGAAGAACGGCGCCAACTTCCTTCCTCGCAGTCAGTGGCTCCGCAGTACGTGCGGATTGGAGAGGTGGGATCGCTCGTTGGCATGTAATTGGTTGGGGGCGGTGGTTGGGGGGAGACTTGGTCACCTCGGGTACAAATTGGTGTTGTCTGTTTGGCCTAAACTTGATTCGAAATCTCTGTGGTCCTAGGTTCTTTTACGTCCCCTATAATCATCCTAGGGCGACTTTTTTTACAGTCCGCAAACAATAAGCGCACAGCTGTAATAACAATTTTCAGTCCTCTCTAAGTTTACGGCATTGGGCAAGATGATTGTGCTTGATGCCATTGACATTAGATGTGGTTTAAACTGAAATCCAAATGTAGATATAAAACTTAAGAAATGTGCAAGACTGCGTAAAAGAAATAAAGCAAAAAATATATTATAGCCAGCGAATGGACATTGTTTCTGAACGCAAATAAGATACTCTGTACCGGAAACTGCATGAAGTGTTTATAAGAAAAACGTTGTCAAAACCTGAGCTGAAAATGCTTTTTAAGGCGATTTAAATTAAAAACGAAAAAATCTAAGTAAGAGACTAAGCGCAGGTGAGATTCCTTGGGGGGCTAACTCTGAACTATATTGCCGTTTACATGGTTTAGGCCTGCTAGAATGATTTAAGGAGGCAAGTCTATTGGGTTAACGTCACCACCCAGTGAAGCGCATTATCTGTAACGAGAAAAGGTTTTAATCATAATTAACAGCAGGAATATAACCGTCTCTCTTTTTTTAACCCTGTTTGGTGAGCCGTGTCAGGTATGACTGAACCCGCGGGCTCCGCTCAGCAGACCGGCGGTCTTCCAACTGAGCTAATGAGATGTAGCCTGTGTATAGACCCCCTCCCCCCTGCTTCTGGCTTCTCCGATTTTTCTTGAGTAGAGGGAGGGAGGGAGGGGGATCTTTACACAGGCTAATGGATGGGGCCGCTAACCCTTCATTAAACCAGATTTGAAATCTCTCAACTGCATTTTCTTAAGAAACTACCGTGATTTATAGTCAGGATAAAATAAGCGAACTCTGGTTAAACAGTTGCTCTCCCTATTATTTATCAGTTTTTCAAATGCTTTTGAAACATAACGATTAGTTTGTTTGTAGGTTTTCAACCATAATGATACGTTGGTACTGGAAGCATTAGTGACTCGTGATCGAAGAATTATGCCGAGAAGCCCGCATATCACCACAGACTCTGGTGTTATCTGGCACATAATCTCTAATTCAAAGAAGTGCAAAAGAAACGGAAGGTGTACAAGAACAACTGCGAGAGTATTGCGAAGGAGTCACCTCCCTGAATAGGAAAAAGGGTTCAGGAAACTCGTCGGCAGCGTCTCCATCTACCGCTGACTACGAGGCCATTATCACGCACTTACGCTCTCAAATTGAAATCAGTGAAGAAGAAATCCAAAGTTTGCGAGAACAACTGCGAGAGCATGGCGAACGAATCGCCTCCCTGGGGAGACAAGTGGCTTTAGGAAATTCCTCGGGAGTATGTTCATCTGCTCAAGTGTCTGGTGATTCAGCTGGCAGTGTACCGAACAGCGAGATTGCTCGAAGGGGACGCAATCTTGAAAATAGGACCGCTGATCTAGAGGCGCTGTCGGCCGGAAATGAGCGTGAAATCGAGGCGACTAACAGCAGGGTTGACTATATTGAGCGCACACTGGCTGACAGAAGTGTCACTTTAGCTAACTTAGAGGAAAAGTTGATGCAACTAGAGTTCCCAAGCTACGATGGCCAGTTGCTGTGGAAAATAACTGAGTTTGCGCGTAGAAGAAACGAGGCGGTCAGCGGGCAGAACGTCTTCTTCTACAGCCCTCCCTTCTACACCAGTCGCTATGGATACAAGATGTGCGCCCGCATATATTTAAACGGAGATGGCATGGGCCTAGGAACACACATCTCTGTGTTCTTTGTTGTCATGCGCGGTCAGAATGATGTAACTCTCCGCTGGCCATTCAGACAGATGGTCACGTTCATGTTGTTGGATCAAGATAATGTTGAACACGTGATCGACACCTTAACACCTGATCCAAACAGCTCTTCTTTTCAGAGACCAAGAAGGGAAACAAACATCGCAAGTGGATGTCCAACGTTCTGCTCGCTCACTGAGCTTACCAATCACGCTTATGTTCGTGATGACGCTATGTTCCTAAAAATTATAGTCGATACAACTGACTTATAAAGAGAACTTTTCTACCATATTCAATTTACTTTTAGAACAAGATTCAAATTGCAAAGTATCATATCTTTCAATTGTATACGCGATTGCATATTTTGATATTTTTCAGTTCGTCACTAGTTTTGGGCCAATCTTGTATCATCAGAATTGTCCTCTGAACTGTACATGCCTTATGTAACCGAAAGCAGCAATAGACTCTTGTTGACAAAAGCGGGAAAGAGTGGGTAAGTCCGTAACGCCAACAAAGAATAACTAAAAGCGATAAAAATGGCGTCTGAAAAATAAATCATTTTTGTTTTGAGTTAGCGCGAGACTCGAGTTACTAAGTGACCTTGTTACCGTTAGACAGGTGTATATAAAGTTCAATTTGATAATCTTTGTCTCCAAAAAAAGACTTAGAGAGTTACTCTCAAAGTTAGCCTTTAAGATATGATATAGGCTTTAAAACTTGTAGATTAAAGAATAGATAGGCATAGTTTATTTACCTGACTTTGTAACGAATATCTTACCCTGTAGACAGGGTATCACG